TGAATGCTTCTGCATTCAAAAAAATGGTACTTTTGCTACCGTACCACAGTCCACTGTAGTGATTGCAGAAGGGGTCTGGCTGCTTTATTCTTTTTTCTCTACTCATTCCACAGCAAATTTGAAGGTAACAGATGTCTGCTACCTTTACAAACTTTGTGTTACAGACGTCAGGTAAAAATAGCTAGGCCTGCTGACTTAAACATCAGTGTTATCTAGTTTTAAAGCCTACTGAAAAAGGAGCCACACATGAAGTCTTTTACAATCTTTAGCCACGGCCTCTTTCTTCCCAGTGCTGTGATCTCTTTTTTTTTTTTTCTTAAGGAAGATGCAAGAGTTTTGGGATGGAACATTAGGAGGCATATGGATAGTAAATACCATGGGTAGGGAGAGGAGGGAATAATAAAATTAAAAAAAAAACCTCTATTTTTTCTTGACTTAAGACTCTAAATTGAAAAATTAACAACTTTACATTTTTCTGTTCATACTGCAGTTTACAAATGCATTGAAGGCTAAGTTGGGGGTGATCTTTACTTGAAATATAACTATAACAAATTAAATTGTGAAAGGGAGTTAACAGAAGGAAAGATAATGGTGTACCATAAAACAGATTTTATTGCAAAAGTAGAGAAACTCAGATTTTAGTGAATCTCCAAAGTTACATCTCACAGAGACCAAGATGACTTAGCTTCAGCGTTGTATTTTCTATATCCAGGTTTTGCAATGGGTACCTGCAAAACCTCGTATCTAAGGCATCTAGCATTCTCATATCTAAATGCGTCTATAGAATTAATCTCCTCATCCCCCAGTGAGTTACATTTTTCTCCTTCCATCTTCCTTCCTTCCTTCCTTCCTCCCTCCCTCCCTCCCTCCCCTCTCCCTCCTTCTGTCTTTCCGTTCTTTCCCACCTTCCTTCCCCTCCTTTCTTTCTGTCTCTAGTTTCATACTATGTAAAGCTAATTCAAACAAGCAAATTCATTTTGGATAGTGTTTGATACTGGTTAGTCTTACCAGTTCATGCAATTAGCTGTGAAACATTTTGCCTGTGTTGCTAAATCCCTTTCCTCTGAAAACTAAAAAAACCCCAAACAAACAAAATGTGCTATCACTTCTTTGGCAACATCTTTATTCTCAAGTTTGGCGTATTCATATTCCCCAACAAATGCATCTATCATGACAGCTATCATGGAATGAAAGATTTCTCTAAGGAACGTTTTTGCTGCCAAAATAGGGCAACATAGAGGAGATTCTTGATCTTGTCCTCTGAATACTTTGTTACCACTTATTTAAAAGAACAATATTTTAGTAATAAGTCCATTTTGAACTCAAACTGTTCAGAGATTTTCAGAGGGAAGAAAGGACAGAAATCCAGCTGACCAAATGTCTATCATCAAGACATCTTTCCATCGCAGGACCAGTTCAGCTGTGCCTAATTTTTTCTACTAAAATACTTGTCCAGTCTGTTTTCAATAATTTCCAAAAGGGAAATTCCACACCCACCCTGTATAGCTTCTTCCTTTATTAATAAAATAGTTTCAGGATTATTCTTTGTCCAGAACTCTGGGAGAGTTCACAGGAGAACTCTTGTGAGGGAGAAAGGCATACCATGCAGTGCCTGGTGGGATGTATTCAGGGACAATGGAAAGGGGAGGTGGCATTTAGACTTGTAACGATAGCACAAGGCAATAACTGAGGTAAATAACATTTTCTTCTGTCAATTTGGTTACCAAGTTCTTCTGCTCTCCACTGTTCACCAAGAACAATGTGGTCTGATTTTCTATTTAGGCAGCGCCTGCCTTCAGGTGGCTGAGCTGCCTGTTTTAAACTGAAGTGATTGAAACTGTTTTTAATTAGTTGTATGGGTGAGGGCAGGGAGGGTGGAAGCTGGTCCCTTGTATTGACTTAATGAGCATATAACAGAATAACTGTTTTTTTCATACCTGCACACTGTTTGGAGTCTAGGAACAGCCTGGAGAGGAGATGAACAGTGACTTCTGCTGGTTTTATGTGTGAGGGGGCTTATGGGAACAGTGCAAGTATTTCTGCAGTGGTTTCTTGAATGTATGTGCCATGCTTCTGATTTAGCCTGGTATTGATTCTCTGGGAACTGTCCTTCCTACCTTCACACACAGTTTTTTCACCATTGCTGTCTCTCTGACCCCAGTCCTACAAAGAGACAGTCTTTCTTTGCTGCCATTTCCTACCATTCACTCTCCCGCAAGAAAAAAATTACTACTTTAGTACACCTCAAAAGGCTAAAGCAAGTTGGATTCACAGGGCTTGTATGGTATGTCTCAGTTCTTCCATTTCAGAACTGGATTGTAACTTCTATAATTCCTTGCTGGCAAGAAGCAGCAGAGAGTTGCGTTGTCTCAGGAGCTGTCAGGAATCAGAGTTGTGATTCCAGGAGTCAGTCTGTTGTTTCCCTTTCATTCCTAAGCTGATCCTTTTTGCCAGTAGATTTTATTGTCCACTTTGAACTGCTTCTAAAGCATTCAAGAGAAGACTTAAATTCTTGCCAGCCTCTGTCATCTGCATAGGTGAGGGTTTGCATTACATTGCACTTCCATATATTCTAGAGCGAGAAAGCAAAGAGAGTCTTTCCTCAATGCATGCAGTGCTAGCAGGAAAAGTATTTCATATATTTTCAAGAAGTAGTAAGTACTGCCTTGACATCGACTAAAGATATGGGAAAGGAGAATGAATTTTTAAGAAGTTGCTCTAGCATTATCTATTTGCAAACTACCAAATGCACTGCTATTCAGGACACAAAAAAGTATGTTTCATCAATCTTGTGACTTAATAACATTTATTGCAATACAACACAGAACTGTAGAATAAACTTTGCCAACTAACATTTATGTCACACACTGACAAAGTAATTAATGTTATTTCAGTAATTCATCCAGATCTTGGCTCTTGACTCCTCAGAGAAATGGAGGAGAGCTGCCCAGTAGTAATTAGCTATTAAGAATGTTTATCCCTAACATGGCTAATCAAAATCTTGGCAAGAAAAAAAGAGAGCTATCATACTAGACCCTTCCCACTTCAAGGAAATGATTGGAATGGTGTGCTAATTATTTTTCTTCTATTTTTTTTCCCCCTTGCAGAACTTTCCTTTTTGTTAGAGATGGTAACCCAAATAAACGGAATGTGCACAATGAGACATCTATGCACTTACTGTGTATGGGACCTCAGATCATGATCTCGGAAGGAGCTCTTCATCCTCGCCTGACACGACCCTCAGAAGATGACTGCAGAAGAGCAGATTGTCTGCAAATGATCCTGAAGTGGAAGGGAGCAAAGCTGGATGAAGGACAATATGAACGAGCAGCCATTGATGCTGTTGATAACAAAAAAAATACACCTTTGCACTATGCTGCTGCCTCAGGGATGAAAACCTGTGTCGAGGTAAAAGTTCATATATAATCACAAGTCTATATACTGCTATTAGTTAACGACACGCGCAGTGTTTCACAAAGCTGTTTCTGGGGAGAAAATCTGATATAGTATATTGAATTAACTCTTTAATCCTATTTTTCATTAGTTGGAAAAATTACAAAGATAAATAGCCCAAAATGTACACTGTCTGTAGAGAACAATGAAAAAAATGGATTACATATACATTAACTTCATGACATAAACTCCTCAGCACGAAGACTCATGTAGGCTTATAAAAATTGGAAATAATTACAAGACTGTAACACTGGAGAAAAATCTTTAAAGGTAGGCATAGGCATACTTATATGTGTAAAGAGAAGTGAAATAACTACCTGAAAAAAAATTAGAGCCCTTTTTATTCTGCTCTGTTAGCTGAGACTGGGAAATGCTGTCCATGTTTCAAGAACAGGTTTGATGTCTTTAATTTACAGTGCCCAGCTTTTTTAGAGGATGCCATATATCTGTACTAACATACTTAAATATAATTACCTTTTTACAAATTAAAAATTACTTTAATGTTTGTGAAAGTAGTGGATAGTAATGAGTAATTGGGAATCATAATGACTTTGAAGGTCTCCCATCAAATTTATTTTTAAACTATACCAAGTAATGAGGATGAGTATTTAATTGTGCTGGTAATTTAATTTAAAGAACACAAGAACAGACAGCTAACATTTTCAAAAACAGCTAACATTTTCATAAGCCTGTCTATTGTAACATCAAGATTTGTATTTTGCATGATAACGATTAATTCAGAGTTCAGCATTTATATGTAAAATTAGGTAATTTTTTCTTCTGTGTGTAACAATGTTTATTGAGACTACACTCATTAACTTAGTATCATCAGCAAAGTTTATCAGCTCATTATTCACCTGCTTTTCTAGATAACTTCTGCGTATCTTAAACAGTCAGGTCCCAGCACTGTTGGGACCTCACTGGTGACCTCTCTCTGCAGTAAAAACTGATGCTCACCCTGTACTTTCCTGACTTTCTCTGGAGCTATTTTTAGTATTGGTGTTACTTTTGCCACCTTCTAATCTTGTACCACGACAGAATTAAGCAATATGTTGCATATTATAATAAATAGTTCAGAAGTTTCGTATTTGAGTTCCATAAGGACTCATGAAAAAGTACCATCTGGTGCTGGGTATTTATATTAGTATTTGGTTTATTGGTTGTTCTAGAACCTCTTGCGCTGAGACTTCAATTTGAAACAGATTTTCTTTTGTGTCCTTCATAAAGCATGTGTGGTACATCCACAGAGAATTAGGACTCCAGCAATTCATATCACTTTTCTGCTTTATGTTATTTGAGATTGCTTTTGCACTTTGTCCAGCGACCAACTTTACGAACACATTGACAGATTTACTATGTGATGTTTTAAAATGGTTTATTCTGAGTTGTTACGCACTTGGCATACTGCTCAAAAAACATTCAGAGCCTTCTTTATTGTGATTTTACATTTACCTTTTCCAGACTTTGTTCTAAACATATTCTTAATCTGGAGACAACTTCAGCTTCTTACTTCCCGTACAATTCTGTCCTGTTTTTCTACCTTCACAGATTCTTCTGATGTTTCTAGAAATTTTTTCCACACTTTCATTTAGTACCACTTTTTGAAAGTAGGCAGTGGATTATTTGTCTTTTTTCTGCTTCTGCAAGAATGGTGAATCTAAGTATATTTGGGAATTGTTATTGAGTGGTTCTTTGATGGTAACATTTTGAATTAGGTCTTGTACACTACTCTGGACAAAGTCAGGAGTTGCTTCTCTCATGTTTGCTAACTATTTTGTCTGTTATTCAGTCACTTATGTAGTCTGAAATTTTAATTTAAGCATCATGTATTAGCATAGCATTTTCTCAATATACTTGGGAGACACAGTGACTGATGTTCCCTTTATTTTTGTGGTTTCTGCCCTTGCTGCATTTCTGTTCTTGGTCAGCATGTCACTTTTATTGTTACAGTTTTGGTCGGGTGGTCACCAAAGCTTTTTTGGTTTAAGTCCAGAATTGTATTCCACTAGGATTCTCTGGTATTTGTTCACAGAGTTAGTTTATTTGTCTGTGAGTTTGTTTTTTTTTTTTTAAAAAAGGTGAATAGCACCACCCTTCCAATACTGTGAATTTCTCTGTGATTCTCACATAATATGTTCTGTGATATTATTTTGTTACACTGATTGTATTCTGTCAAGTTTCCAGATGTTATCTGAAAATTCTCGTTTAAAATTTGTCACTTCAATTCCCCAGCCTTAGCTGTGCACCATCTTGAACTGGATGCTCTTCTTTATCTTCTGGTTTTTCATTAGTCCCCTCTTTAAAAGCTCAGATAGTGTCTTTTTATTTCCAATAGCCAACACTTCTTTCATTCTTTTAGTGCAAAGATCATCCTTCCTAGTTTTCTGAGCTTCTAATGAATGGAGACTCAGCTTCCTTATGCCATTTTCTGTACTATAACTTAAGCCTCTGTCAGTACTGAGAGGAGTTCAGAGGATGCTGCTGTTAGATGCTGATACTCAACCTCCAGTATCACAGCCTGAATCTTGCCCCTGTACCTTCTGTCCTCTCTGCCCCATGTTGTTCCAGCTCTGCAAGCTCCACACTAGCAGTTTGTCTTCAACATGTCCCTAGAAATTATTTATACACTTGCCGATTTTCACCAGGGAGGCAAGTCACCTTGCAGTCTTTGCTAGCTGAATTATACTCAGACCCAGCTAATTATGTCCATAGTAACTGAATTGCACACAGGCACTGCCTTGCTCTTCCTGTCAACTAGAATGAATCTTTCTTTATTTATATGGTTATATAATTGATTTACTGCCTCTTTTGATGTGATTGATTTGTAAACAAATATCAGGCTGTCTCCTAGGTCTATGTTAATACTGCTTTTATCTTGATTGTCAACTTTTAATTCTTTTTAGATTTGATAAACAAACAAAAATATTAATTGCAGGGGACTGTGTACTTTTCTTCTCTTTTTTAATGCCACTTGTTTGATCCAGCTGCCTGATAAAGTCTGGCTACAGGGATTTTCAGTCACCGTTATTCTATCTGGCCTTCCCCAAGAAAATCCATTTGCTTTTAAACATTATTGTACCTTAGGGAACAAATGTGCATGTCATATCAGAAAATGGGAGATACCAGGATTTAGCATTTAATGACCTTTTTGAGCAGAGTTGGTGAAAAACACTCACATAAAATGATTTGATGTGGGAATGGTAAACAGAAGGAAGAAAAGTTTAGTAACCAGTTTCCAACATATTTCTGTTTCTGGTGTTTACAAGCTTGCTGACTCACATTTGTGAAACATTATGTGTGTTATGCTGATTTGTAAAGTGCTTACAGTTGGACCCATATCAATATATACTGCAAAAAAAAAAAAAGAACAATTACATTATCCACAGAAACTCTTATTTCTTGTCTTCTGTCTCTCTCTCTCTACACTTGAGATCCCCAGGTAACTTAGACTTCAGATTTACAAGGGATTCGAGCAAGGAGTCTTCTGCTTCAATCATTGTGCCTTCATGCCCCCAAATGGGTCTGTAGAGTGGTATTAGAGGTAGACACAGTTGTTCAAAAGTTTCAATTTCAAGAGCCTGAAGCAAACGGGCTCACACAGTAAGATCCAGGCACACTGTAATGTCAGAAAGAATCACAGTCGCTGCAGAGTAAATTGTGGTTCTGGAGCTAGGCTGTAGCTTTTAACTGCAGACTGTAAAATCAATTGGTTTTAAACTCATCATGAAAGTTCATGGTTTGTTTCTTCACAAATTATCGTTCTCTTTCTCACTGTCTGTGATGTGATTCATTAGATGAATTCAGTTGCTAGACTGCTAGTTCCCCATTTAATTATATAAACTGGGTTATGTTATCGTGACAATACATACTGTTCAATTGACTAAACCATTTCTGACTCTAATTTGCTTTCAGTTTGTCTTTGAAGAAGGATTTACAGTCTCATCCACATGGATTGCTATTTGCCAGAGTTTGGACACAGTTATGTAGTCTGTAGTAGTCATGGTTTCTACACTAGAAACATAAAGTACACTCCCAAGTTCAAACTTTATGTGCCCTACCATAAGGTAGAGGACCTTGGATATAGTCTGTAGTCCTTCTAACTCCTTCAACAGGAGCAGAATTACGAACAGGAACACTACATTAGGAAAAGACCGAAACAAAGATTGGTGAAGGAATTTAACAATGATCTCTTTGTTCCTGGAAGTATTTGAGGATTAAAATTCTTAACAAAATAAAAAGAGATAAAAACCTGAATTGCCTAACCCTCAAGTTGTCTTCCCTCTCTCCAGTAAACTGAATGTTACTCAGAACCCCAGGAACGCCTTTTGCCCAGTTTTGTAGTGGTTACTCTCACTTCAGAGCAGCATTCCTCTTTAATCATCCTTTTTCCATAACTTTTCAGGAAAGCCCCAGCCTTTTATCTTCCCCTATCCCCACCACACCCACATAAGGAAAGGAAAAAACAAACATAGTCCCTTGTGGGTGAACAACCTACTAGTTGATTTGTTCAGAGCTGATAGTCAAATGTGCAGTCTTGATACTACTCCATGCACCTGTGTTAAATTTCTCCTCTGAGCAGAACAGCTGTGGGGAACCCAGTGCTAAAGATAGTTTGAGCAAAGTTAATGTGCTTACCTCAAAATACTGAATAGAAAAAAGACTTAACTTCCATGCTGAATAGATTTGATTTTATGCAGATATATTCCACTCTATCACAGCATATTTGGCATATTAAATGGCATTTTTGCAATTGTTTAAATTATGAATGTGATTGTTTATAAATTATTAATCTTCTTTTAATTACTTGAGACACAAGCCTTTTTAACAGTGCTTCCAGAAAAATATGACATCATTATTATAAACTTGTTGTTTTCCTTATTCCTCATCTTGCAATTAGATTTCTTGCTGCATAGGTCTATAGAGTGTTCTTTCAAGTATATTTATTCTTTTTCTTCCTCAGAAGGTGTCTTAGTTGCCTCAGTTAAATTTTTGTTAGAGTTTAGAATGTACAGACAGAATGTGAAACTCAGGTTAGCAAAGTTTTGGCAATGTTAAGAAGTTTCGCTAGAACAAGGTAACTGTAGGCTGGATGTCTTGATAATTATCCTGGTACTATCTTTATTTGTGCCTGATACTCTGCTATGAAGATAAAATATGATGTCATACTTAACAACATATCTTCTCAACTAAATCTTGTTATTGCACTGGTTTGTGGTATTTGGGGGTTTGCATTTCTTTTTATTTTGGAGAATGTGGGAAAAGTTTCCAAGGAATCTACAAGAATGACTCCAGGTTTGTAAAATACATTCTGCATTTTACAGTGACAGGTGAAGGAAATACAATCTGCTGAAAAGTAAGACGTGACTGATTATGATCTAAAAGGTTTATGCGGCGAACAGATCATTTTGGGGAAATCTTTTTCTTAGAAGTATAAAAATTAGAAGCTGAGTTTTGAAATATCCTGGCTAAAAATACAGGATAGCATTGTTACAGCCATCATGGCCTGAAAGCAAGATAATGTTTATAGCTTTTAGTTTTATTTAGAAATAAGATGAATCATTTTAGTAGTGAATGATTGTCCTGGGTGCTCCATCATTAGAAGTTTAGCACGTGTTATAAAGATGCCATAATAAATCAGCAAAATGGTCCGTTGTTGACCTTTAAAATCTGTGGCATTTGTTGTCCTTGCTTATATCAGAACAGTTTATAGCAGGAGGCAAGGCTGGCAACGTAATGAGAGCAGCACAATTAGCGTTTAGTAGGTAGAGACTGCATTTCTGGGTGGTTACTGGCAAGAGACAAGGTTGGTGAAATGGCACAACACTAGGCCGTATTAGAATCAGAGTTATTTCATTTCATTTTTCTCATGTCCTCAAAAATAAGATAGAGCTACCAGTAGTATTATGTGCTATGTGTGAATTGGTACCCGATCTTCCCTCCTATTCGAGGATTCTCCCATTTTCTGTCACCACCAGTGTACCAGTGCTGGGAAGAATGGTGGAGTTATACCCATATATAAAGAATATTTAAAGGAGTATCCAGCTCCATCTTGCCAGGCGTTTGATGACCTCAGGCCCCTCGTTTTCTACAGAGCACTGACCATATCAGTAGAGCAGAATTTTAGTGTTCAAAACCTAATGGAGACATATGGTACAGCATTGCCTTGTAACGTATCTCTGAGATTTTGTGGTTCCATGGAATTACGGTGGGTATAGGTGTAATTATGTATGAAATCAAGCAGTAATTTATTTAATAACAATGGAGAATCTTTGTTTCCCAAAGACCATTGCTGTTATATTTTTCTCTTCTTTCTGTTTTCCTTGTTCATATTTTTTTGTTCTCTTCTTAACTGACATGTCTTTTCTTCAGGGTGTTACTAGAGTTGGTAATTAACAACTGTTTACTTTGCCATTTTACTTTTCAGCTTCTAGTAAAACATGGTGGAGATTTGTTTGCAGAAAATGAAAATAAAGATACCCCATGTGACTGTGCAGAGAAACAACACCACAAAGAGCTGGCTCTGAACCTGGAATCTCGAATGGTATTTTCACGTGATCCTGAAGCTGAAAGCATTGAAGCTGAATATGCTGCTTTAGACAAAAAAGAGGTCAGAGGATACTTTAAATTTGGGGTATTTTACACATTTATATTTGTAGCTGTTACACTGTGGCAACATTCTGCAAAGTATTTCAGTAGGTACTGTACTTTGTTCTGTGTATTTGTCAACTATTTGATTTTAACACAGCCCTTTATAGTTTTCAAGTTAAGCTCAGAGAACATAACAAATACATTGTCAAAACTGAAGAGAAGTTTTATTCATATACTTAATTATGTGGACTGTCTTGAAAGTGTTGCAGGCTGTGAGGCTGGAGAAAATACAGTGAGGCCAGTAAGATGGGAAACAGTTGCTCTAAACCAAACATTTTTTACATATTTTTATTTCTTAAGATGCCTTTCTGTCTAAAAATGAGGGCAGGAGAAATTTTGAAAAGGAGAAAATCTGTGGGATAGAATAGGGAAAATGTGCTGGTGGATCTTCCTAGACTGAGACTGGGTTGAATGTCACCAAAGGCCAGCTGAGTAGTGCGGGATTTCAAAACACTGCATTTACTTTCTTGTTTTATAACATGATGCCTGAAGCTACTGCATACCAGAACTTGTATGAAAAGCAGGTAATAACAGGTGTTGTTATTTTGAAGTCAATTTTTGAAAGAGAGAAACAATTCACTGTCACAAGTTTGCTTGAAATCTGGTATGCCTTACTGAAGACTGTGTTTTGGTAAGCACAATTTGACCAAACTGATTCTGAGCAAAAGTTCCGTCCCCCATCCATTATCAGATTTTAATTAACTAAAATTCTAAATAAGAATACATAGGTAAATTATATGATTCACTAAATATTATGAGGTAATTCTGTGTAAATTAAAGGACAATAGATTTCTGTATGGCTAGTCTCTTTAAAAATAGCATGCCTTGCCTTTTACTAGCTTAGCCCACTTATGACCTAATGACACTTAAAAGAAAATTCATTCAGATTTAGGTATGAGTAGGCTTAGATCACATCAACTGTTTCCCTGAAAAATGCCGCGCATTTTTATTTGATGCCGTCAGTTTTATTTGAAAGTAGGAAAGTCTTTGTACTGTTCAATTGATTTTCTGAGTAATTTTCTTGAATAAATTCAAATATAAACAAGCTTAATTAGATTGTTTATTCCTAGATGAGAGGTTTTGAGATGAGGTTTAATATACTTGAATTGTACATTGAAACAACAAATCAACTCAGTAATTAACTCATTTTAGTTTCTCTGAATAGTCCCATAAAGAGACACCCAAATTGTTGTAAGAGTATAGTTTGAAATTATATTTTCTATGTTGGCAAACCACTTTAAAAGACTGCTGCAGTTTCCTGCCACGATTGCAGCTGACCACTCCTTTGGTTGTACAAGTAGAACTATTCGGATGGTTATGCTGTCAACCAGATCGTAGCAATGATTTGGCTTAACTGTAATTGTTTTATTTAACCTGAATAATTTTTATCATATTTATACCATGGGTTTGCTGGCACATGCACTAGCACAGGTAGAAGAATAGTGAACTTACAAATATGAGTGGGGCAAATCAAGAACTACTCGAACAGGCTTTTCAGTAAAGAGAAAATAATGTCTTGTGACTGTTTAAGGTAGATGCTCAGAGCAAAGTCAGCTTAAAGACTTGATAGTTACAAAGGACTTGAGTAAAAGGTAATTACGTTAATTTGGGGTCACTTCACTGAGACTGTTAAAAAGTACAGTTCTGTTCCTCATTTGACTTCTTTTTAGCAAGGTTGTTGAGCATGAGAACTGAAATGCAGGCAGGCCTGCAGACCTCGATCCATCTGACATACCAGGGCAGCTTTCCCACATGTTCTAAAGACTCACAGGTCGAAAAATGCCAGCCTAGAATTTGGTACACCAATTGGTGGTCTTGGGGCTTCACACAGAGCAGTTCTGCCTTCATGTGCTCCATTTCCCCCCTCCCCGCCCCTTTCTTTGTGACTTTTTCAGTGGGATAAGCTCTCTAACTTCTTGTGTAAATGTTAACAGCACAAGTGCTAGCCCAAGAGAGATGCCAAGAGCGTGTAGCCAGGGGAAGTTCATTTTTCAATCTTAGCCCTCAGAATGGCCAAAACCAGTTGAAAAAACCAGCCTTAGAAAGACTAACACTGTCCTGCAATCCAAATGACTACATATCCTCATCCTCCAGGACTGTGGACAAATGTCTGGGATGGGCAGTGGAAGCTGCACTTACCACTGGCTATGGTGATGCCTCCATCTGTTATCTTAATGGGGCATGAGAAGTGATCCAAAACCCTTCCCCAGAACACATCCTTCAGCAAAATTGCCCCTCAAAGATGGTCCCCTACTTTTTTTCTCTCCATTTAACTTTTAAAAAATATTAAACAAATTAAAAAATATTAAGCAAGTGTGCAAAATATTATATTTAGATTGTAATTGTTCAGTGATGCCCTTTAACATATTTCCAAAACACAAAAAAATAATTAATAAATAATTTAAAAACTTTGGAACACCAAGAAGTGCATTTTCAAAGTCATTTCATCTCTTGAATGATGGTTAGAGGAAAAGATAAAACATTTGAAAACGATGAATAGGATTTCTTCCCAGGCAGAACAGCCAAACTCCGGTGTTTGTGATATGTACAGTAGCATCTGGAATGATAGCACTCAATTCCTCCCCTTCCAGACCTGCCATGTTTACAGCAGACAATTATCCTCTTTTTCATACAGAGCAAAAGATTTTTGTAGTGCTCTGTGCAGTGCCATTGGATTAAGTGTGCATTCAGAGTAATAACAAAGCTTTGTTTCTGATGTTGAGAACCAGTTTGTGTTGTTCTTCACGTTGAAATATTACCAAGGAATTATGTGAGTGCTCATGTTTAGAATTGGAACACTTGTAATAGTGGAAAAAATAACTTGCACATACCTTTCTTTGATCTCTCAAACCATTAAGAAATACAGATTGCTGAGTAGACCCACATTTCAAGTTTGAGAGCCTGACAGCAAAGAGCTGTCCATCTTCCAGCAGTTCAGTTTACTCCCTCCACAAGGGTTTCTGAAGAAAATCCATTTCTGCCGTACAGTTACCCAACCTTTTAAAATCTCATTTTACTACATTGCTTCCTGAAGCGTATTTTTAAAGCAACATTTCTATTTTACTTTGTTTTTAGTACACCTCAAACATTTTTAGTGATCAAATTAGAGATTGCAGTTAAAGATGGGTAGCAAACAAGCCCTAATAGTTTTGAAACACAAACGTGATTGTTAAGTGTGTTTCCACAAGATGCAGTTTGGAAGGCAAACACACGCATAATCTG